CTTTGAGGGGACGGTACTCTCGCAGCCCCCACGGCGCAACAGCTCTGCTCGGGTCCCGCTGTTTTGTGGGATGGGAGCATAGGTTACCTCCAGCCCTTCCCCGCTGCCGGAGCAAGGTGGCTTACGCAAGCAGCGTTGCCTGCGGGCCAAGGAGGAAGGGAGTAGGGGCAGAGAAAAGAGGCGTGGGATGGCTGGGCTGGGTCAGGCCTCCCAGGGCACGAGCCCGGTTTGCAGATGCTGCAGCGTCCCGCTATCAATTCCTAGGAAGGCTGGCAGCGCGCAGAGCTGCGCAGGGATTGCTGCCGTAGCGCTGTGCTGTCGGGGTAGCGCCCGCGCTGTGTGCCTGGTAAGGGAGCACATAGCACTTCCACAGCTGCCGGCTGAGCAGCAGTGACCTTTACACGTACTTCAGGACTCCGCTGGCACGTGATCTCTGGAAACAGCCCGGGTGCTCTCCTCAGAAGAGTTTGTCACAGCCCACACATACAAGCCTTGATGACAACACCTAGCGCTGACACGGTTCCAGTTTCTTCGGCGCAAAGGCTCAGCACGTCCACGGTTCCCGGGGCTGATGGGTGCCGTCGTGCAGCCAGGCGCTGAGGTGGATTGAAAGCACTCTTGCTGCATTAGAAGTGTAGAATTTGTGCTTGGTCACCAAAAGCGATACACTTCGTAGCTGAAGGGATAACCCGATTTAGAGAATATGGGACATTTTTCTATTTGGATGGCAGGTTTATCTCCGCTCAGTTTTTTGAGATAAGGGGATAATGCCCCCATCAGTGAGTAGGGCCTATATGTATAGGTGGGATAATGCAGTCTGCTGTGTTGTAGCCGTGTCTCTGCTGGGCATCAGAAGTTCCAGGAGAAGGACAATAATTTGAACAAAGCTTTCAAAAGTGGTGACTCGTTTAGGAGAAGTTAACTCTGTATGTACTTGCATCTAGTAAATAAGATGGCAGACCTTGATTATAGTGAGAGCACTAGCCACTAACTTTTTGAAGAGGTAATTGGTCTATCTCTGAGGCGTATTATCTGTCAAGTGATCTGCTTATTCACACAGATTCTGCACAACGGAGTATTTTTCCTTATCTAACAAGGAATCAAAACCATATATATCTGTAACTGACTCCATCAAGATCATATTAGTCGTCATTAAACAGTAAATTAGTAAATGTCCAGTCAGAAAATACCACTCAGCTTAGACACATTTCCTTCTTTTTTTTCTTTTAACAACAGTTTATTGTCTTCTTTTTAAAACAGAAAAACAGGGGCATTTTGGTATGAATAGCCACAGATAGCCCCACCTCAGCCAGAGAAAGTAAGATAAGCAGCAAGTCTAATTTCTCTTCCCTGATTTATAGTATATTTTGATCACTGAGGCTTAGCACTTGACCTTGGCTTGGATTTTGGTTCATTGTCTCTGCACCACACTCATGTTGCTCTCTGTCATGGAGTGGAATGGTCTTCCAGCACAGAGGGCTCCGAAGCACCAGTGAATTAGAATTACAGACTTCAGAAACATTTGGCAAATTTCAATAAATTTTGCTAGATCAGCAAGGTATTTCCAAATCGTGTCCCTTTGCAGATTTGCAAAGCACGTAACTTGCAAAAAGTAATTCGTTTGCCCTTCCCCTGGTAGCACCCAAGCGACCCGTATGCAGACACATAGTTCCAGACTAATAGAAATAGTCCTGTACGTGCTGCTTTTGCCCAGGGAGGAGAGTATTTCTGGAGGGAATAAAGAAGGGAGATGGTGTAAATGGCAGGCAGGAAGCTGCGAGGCAGGAGGAGGGCAGAGGCCGGGGGATCTGGTGGGGAACCGGGCTGCAACAGCCAGAGGAGGTGCAGGGGCTGTGGGCGATGGGGGAGCGGTTGTAAGGGAAACAGATGGGAAGAGAGGCAGATGGAGGATTAGGACGCAAATACATAGTAATCCAAATTTCTTTAAATCAGATGGTCATGGAAAAAAATGTGGTTTCCTTCCAGTCACTGCTAGAGATTGAACCGGATGATCTCAAGAAGTCCCTTACCATTATTTTGGGGTTTTTTTTACCATCAGCCCTCCGAATTGCAACTTTACTGCAACTGTTTTACTTTACACAAGTGTATATGATCAAAGGGTTTTCCTAGCTATGTAACAGTTATTGTAGCAAAACCAATGTAGACAAAATCAGATCCCAGCATATGGGAACCCAACAGAGTGGTAATTTATTTATGGGGTCATAATAGGTGTGGCATAATAGGTGGCTACAAATAGGATTGGAATTTTTGAAATCAGTATTTTTCTAATTTAAATCTTACATTTTTATCAGCATATAAGGTTCTGCAGCTTCTAGAAAAAAATTTGCATATAAGAATTTAGGACCAAAAGCTCCATACCAATTGAAAACAAAACAAAACAAAGAACAAAACGCAAACAAACTACAGAGAAGACCCCTGCTTAAAGGACTGACAGGAAAAAATCATTTCAGAGTGGATGATAAATGCATATAGCAGATCAAGCAGCACATAAGAAATACACGGCTCCTAGACCAGGGCTTTGAATTAACTGTAGTAGGTGGAGCCAGGAAGCAGCAATGAGGATAAAATGAACCATGTGTCCTGGAATAATTAGATAATTCTTCTGACACAGCCCACACAGTTTTGGCTGGTTCAGGCCTGTTCCATGGCCGGTTCCCTGTGTTCCGACGTCGTCCTCCATCTATTTCCTTCACTGTGGACTAAGTTCCTCCGCAACCACAAGCGGATGTTCTCCAGACTAAAATTCAGAACAGAGAAAACAGGGTGTATCGGAAGGTTTCAATAGCTCTTGGGGTCATACGGCATCTGCCCAGATCTGGCGACGCTTTGGAGACCCTTTAAGAGCAGGCAAATGAGCACAAAGTAGGAAGGAGACTTAATTTTATAGATTGAAATGTACCACAGCCTATGCTCTTAAAATATCTCATTCCACACGCATGGGGAAAAAGACGGGGGGAACACCACATTTACGTGATTATTTCTCAAGATGTTGTACTCTTAAAAAAGTACATCTGTCACTCGAGGTGATTTACTGCGCTCTTCCCTTGGAGCCGTTGTCAGTCAACAAGAGCTATTTCGCTGATTTCCAACTGTGTCAAATCAAAGCCTTCGGAGAGCTGCCGTTTTATCCGGATTATTTTTAGTGCAGGTGTTTCACTTACGCAGAAGGAAGCAGCAGCATACCGTGAGCAAAGGGGACTTGAAAGTCCAGAGTGCCAACACCAGCTCTTCCTCAGGTGCTGGCTGACTCATCGGCTTTTAAGGCGTAAAACGAGTAACTAACAATTCGCGAGCAGGGCGCCTGGCTGAAGTTACGGGGAGCGGACGAAGGCAGTCCTAACCCGTGCTGATGCTGCCTCCGGAGCCAGCGAGTTAACGCTGCCGGAGCCTGAGGGGCCGGGGCCGAAAGGCCCGGGGAACGCCGTGGTTTGGGAGCGCCGTGATTGATTTGGGAGCGCCGGCGGTCCGCGGCCCCTCTTCTCGCCGCGGACGAAGTGGCTGCTGCCGACCGGCGGGCTCCTCCGCCCGCGGCCCCGCTCGGCCGCCCCCGGGGCCCCTCGGGAGGGAGGAAGGGGCGCAGGGCGGAGGAGGGA